AGCATCCCGGAGGACAGAGCCAACTGGCTGGTGGAGGGTGGTATGATTGGGCTTTTGGCTTGGGAAAAACAGGGCTCAGTCGGGGGGAAGCTGGGGTGATTGGGGAGAACTGGGCAGGCAACGACATTACAGTGGTGGGAGGGAGATGTGTTAGGAGACGGGGCATGCTGCTTGTGGGGAAGGCAACCCCAGAGTTTAGCAGCGATGCCACTTTCCAGCCCCCTGTGCTCTGCCCGGTGCCTGATCATTGATGCTCCCATGCCCCTGATTTCTCTCTGTTGCCACGAATGCATGGTCACTGGAACAAAGCTTTCCTCATCGTGGATGAGAGGGGCAATCTTGCATGCATTACCGAACCCTGCCTGGGTACGGGTTGCGGGGAATCTCCTCTCAGGGATCTGCCTAGCCGGGGTTCATGGGTGGCACCAGCTGCGACTCCTGGCAGAGGCAAGGGGCACAGCTATTGTTACTCGAGACCCCTCAGGGCTTTCCAGGGCCGCTGCTCTGCAGATGGCTGATTGTGAGACTGTTTGTGGTGTTGGGCTGAGGGGATTGTGGTGGGTGTACCAGCCTCCCCCTGCATGGCAGCCTCCCCCGAGCTGCCTGAGCCCACGGCTGGGTTTGCAGCGGAGTTCCCCAGGCTGAGGGTACTGGCAGACTTCAACCATCCTTCCTTGGGTCAGGCTCAGAGGCGGCTGAGTTGTCCGTGGCTGCCATCTGTGGGGGTCACGTGCCAGGTCTGGCATTTATCTCAGGTGCCATCAGTCCCTGATCACAGGCAGAGCACTTCCTGTTGGCCTTGGGGTTCTCTTGGCTGCACCCTCCTGCAGGGAGGTGGGACCCATTTGGGCACCTGATGGACTCTACTGGGTTTCAGGAGGAACTTGGGTTGTTCCTGGCCCGCAGTTGGCTGATGCCTCGGTCGCCGCTTGGAATGAGAGGGCGACAACTGTCTGATCAAACTGTGCCTGTGGGGCTGGATGTTGGAGAGCTTCCAGAGGAAGTGAATGAGACAGCAGAAGAGATGTCTAGAGCACTGTTGCAGTAAAGCAAATATTGACCCCAGTTGAGCATGGTAAGAGCCTTGTGGTGATAAGGGTGGGAAAAATTAGCTATTTTTCTGCCCATATCACATCTGGAAAGAGTTGATCAGTAGTTCTGTTTAATATGACTTGGTTCCTTCTGAGTAAGGAGGGACCAGGGAAATATTTGCAGGACTCCTGTGAGGACTATTCCTGGCATCTGGATAAAGTTGCTCAGATTCACTCAGAGTTGGACTCTGTGCAGATCCTATGGAGATACCTGAGGCCTGATCTAGTGTGGTTATCTGGGAGGAGTTTGAGCCTGTTGGCCCTGATGAAGCAGACAAGGCTTGCAGCTGTGAGTTCAGTCATCTGTGTTTTAAATCGATGATGCTCCTGGTTGGTCAAGGCTTCCTGGTTATGACTTGTGGTTGGGTCCATGTGGTGGTTAATGCTTCCTTGAAGGAGGGGATGGTTCCACCTGCTCTGAAAAAAAGTGACTTAAGGAGCCATTGCTGGACACCACAGAACTGGACAATTTTCATCTGGTCTCCAACCTTCTTGTTCTACGGAGTGTTGTTGAGAAGGGTGGTTGGCTTAAGCTCCAGAGGCCCCTGAAAGAAACGGATTATCTGCATCTTTTTCACTCAGGTTCAGATCTGTTTATAGCACTGATATGGCATTGATTGCACTCAATTAAATTTAATGGGACATGGATGGAAGTAGCACCTCTATCCTGGCCACCTTGATTTCTCAATGGCTTTTGATGGCTTCTGGATCGGCTTAGGGGATTGGGAATGGAAGTGGGAAGAAGTGTTATGGTCTTGCCAGTGAATCCAACAGGTACTCTGCCTCCCCTATGGCATATTTAACGAAACTCGAAGTACCTAAACACCGGACGGCCTTTACCCTGGCACCCCTCAGCTGTCCTCGAAGGCCAATTCAGGAAGATCCCTTACCCGGAGAGACAATGCCCTGTGACTCTGGGCACATGGAAACCACAGAGCATGTGCTTCTCCAGGGCCTGTATTGCAGTGACGTTCGTACTAGCCTCATCTCACCATCCCTGCATAAATCCCCAGGTCACAGGACAATTCTACACCTCCCTGCTGCTTTCAGACACCAACCCT